TCCTTCTAGCTTTCTCAGCGTTTCTTATTTGGGAGTCAGGGATGTGCTTTTCATCCAACCCTGCATTTCTGTGCTATTCTTTAGCCTCTTGCACCATTTTCTTGACTCCTTCTAATGCATATTGCAACAGCTTTGCAAGGAGAATGTCTAGCTATCCAGAAAACCCTGCACACCTGTAAAGTTCAAGAAGAAAAAAAAGGCCTGTGGAATCTCCATTGCTTGGAAGAGAGCAGAGGAAATCTCAGTGAAGGACCCTTTGTAGGCAAGTTTAAAATGCATGGCCTAATTCACTTCCAGCAAATTTATTCTTATGTATCTCAGTTCTTCATTGCGAAGTTTGATTGAATGTAGGGTAGTACTTTCCTGTTCTAGTTATTTCTACAATTTAACTATATGCAAAGCTATTTCTTCTCAAAGGTTGACACAAGAGGAAATAATTCCTACAGTTTCAGAATTCCACATTTGTACAGTTGTGAATCATTCCTGCCTTTAAAACTTGACAGGATGTAAAGTAGATGGACTGTTTTTTGCTCATATTCACTACATATCTGCTTCCTCCTGACAATACAATTTTGGCTTCATAATAAATCCCTGCTGCAAATCATCTTAAGAATTCTTGTTCCATAATTCACCCAAAGCTTTTTGACCTTGTTAACTGCAGATTTTAGAGTAGGAGTTTGAAATAAATATCAGTCTTGCTGATACAGCCTTATTGTTTTCTTCCAAGAAGATAGCTTAATATGTTTAGACCACTGGAAGTGACAATCCTTCACAAATTTCAAGAACCATCATTAATTTATTTTAATAATGAAGAGCAAAACAGAATGTGACAAAAACTTTTGTCCTCTATGCTAATGAAGCTCTAAGATTGGTAATGAAACACTGTTAAGTATGAAAGGAGGAATCAGAAGAAATATATCTTACTAGTAATTTGGTATCTATTAGATCATCATTGCTGAGGTTGGAGTTAAAAAGCTCAATTTACTGATCGGGTAACAATCAAGGGAAGTATGCTTTTTACTTCATTGCTGCCAAACTTTAAAAAATTCAGTGTGTACCTAGATAAGTTACTTCATTGAAGTCCTGCTTTCCTCCTGCTTAAGTCAATAGGCAAATTGCTATTATCAATAAGAGCAAGAAGCTGCTATAGTAAAAGCTTTATAGCAATTGGACTTGAATGACTACAGGTAAAAGGCCACATATGAACTCAGTCCTTTCAATTCTTTTCTTTTGTGTATGCATTAACAGAACAAAATATTATAGGGGGAGATATTTTTCTTATTTCTACATCCTTTTTTCTTAGAGGAAATAGAGGATAAGAAAAGCAGGGGTCTTGGAAGGACTGTAGGTACCTGCTGTCTTCACTACTGAAGTGTTCTTGATCATCAGCAGCATCATTAGTAGTAAGCATGAGGGACACTTGTAGAAATGCTAAAAAATAATTTAAAAATCCAACTAATCATGGTGCAAGCCTGCTGACTGCATCAGAAACCTCTACAAAAATTCCCTAAGGCTGTGGCTGCATACTGTGGAGTGCAAGATTATGGATAAAGTCTTATTTTTGAGAGTTTATATGTGGTTTTGATACACAATGAATGCTGGAGGAATTACCCTGAAGCAAAGAATACGAGAAGTCTTCCCCTTCATGCTATATGGGATCAGAGCTGACAAAGACCCTCTTTGGTCTTCTCACATTCATACCAATCTCTGGACCTGATGCTGAGCGTAGCATCTGAAATTTCAGTAGTTCTTCTGAAGGATTTAAATCATTCCAAATTAGTTAACACCTGCCAGGGTGTCTCGCTTGTTTGCAGAAGAAATTTCATGTGATTCTAAGCTGTCATTTATTAGTGGAAGTGATTCATGATGCATTGAAATTGAAATTGTAAAGAAAATGTTTCTGAATTTAATGCACATGAGAGCAAATGACCTCATGTGAGGTATGATGGAAACAGGAGAAAGACTGAGAAAACTGTCTCAGTAAGTTCTGGATTTCCTTCTCCTCCTTGAAAAACAAACTTCTATACTGTTAGCCTTAAGTTTCTCTTGAATAAATCCAGACTATCTGCATTTGCCCAGGTTACACTGAAAAAGGTTATATTCAGTCTTTATGTTCAGTCTGCAATCAGCTTAAACCCTTTTTTTTCCTGTTAGATTTGCGTCAGTGAATTCAGAGGCACCGAGTTAACAGAATTTATTTTAAAACAGATTTCAATTAAACCATGTAATTTATGACTTTAGAAAAGACCTACTTGGCTCTACATGCAACGGCAGAAATGGTAACTGCATTGACACAGCTTTTTCTTAAGACATATGACAGGCACCTTAAACATCTAACCTGAAGGTGTGAACACACACTCTGCTTTTCTGACAGCAACTTTCCAGAGATAGATCTGCAGTAGCACCATTTGATCTTGTATAATTCTTGAAGTTCACTTTACCCTTCATAGTGGTTTTGGTTAGGTTTGTGATGCTTGAGTGGGCTCTTTCTTCATGCCATAGAGAACTGTTCTTCTGTATTCCAGGTCCTTTAGAAGAGCAGGCATGTTCTGTGTCTGATCTAGGGAGGATAACTTGGGTGGTCACAGGGAAATAAAGGATTATGATGGTGGTTCACCATTTTGGATTTTTTCTTGAACCTTAGAATGTAGCTTTATTTTATTTTGTTTGGAATTATACAGTGTTTATATATGGCTCTTTTCTTTGAATTTGCTGCTACACTGAGCATGGAAAAACACAACTTTGTTCTTGTCTAAAATAAATGGTGACAACATGTCATTTTCTTTGCTGCCCTTGCTCTAATTTCCTTCCTTTCAAGCAATAAAGTAGTCATTTTGATAAAACTTTATCCATTACTCTTGTCACTATCTTGCTACTTGCATGTAACTATTGTATGACTAAACATCCTAATTGTTTGGAGAAGTACAGTTCACAGGCGTTTCATACATAACGTAAATATTTCCCAAGAACAAGTTATGGGAATAATTCACTGAAGCACTTCAGTTTCAGTGATCAAAAGAATATTCCCATTGAAAATGTACTCAGCGTTTAATTCAAACATTATTACACACTTGGATTCCTTTCAGTAAATGAAGCCTTCTTTTCTAATTAACAGTGCTAATAAGAAAATATATAGTTTTGCTTCACATATGACTGTTTCTATTATACTGGTAGAATATGACCTACTTCTCAGGGATAGCTGTGGTTTCAGGACAGGCTATTTCAGTTACAAAGCTGAAAGAAGTGAAGAATGAGCATCTTCAGGCAGGCAGCTGTTTTAGCAGCAGCAATGGCCAAGGATGGTCTGCCATGGACACGGAGCAGAGAAGCAAGATGTGGAGACAAGGAGCTGGGAGAAGGTATTCTGGCTAAGCATGGGAGCTTTCCTGAAGACCAAGAGATGCCAGGAAAGGATCTCCAGTGTTTAGCCTGGAACCTACGTGGAACCTTAGTCCTTTCTTCCCTGCTTCATGAAGCCACACTTTACCTTTAAAAATAAACCCAAGCTTTTTTCTTCCTTCAAGTCTCTGGATGCTTTGACCCCCTCACCATGTTTGTACCCCTCCCCAATACCTGTTTACCTCTGTGCATTCTGGGGTGCTTTTGGCCAGCAAACTACAATCACTACTGGTTTTCAGAAGGCTCATAATGCTATTATTTCTCCTGGTTCCAGGAGCCAAATCAGGAGGCAACAGGTCCAAATTTTAGCAGGGCTCGCAGAGGAGTTCTCTGCTGTTTTGCACACTAAGTTGGATTAGACAGGTTTTTGGTTTTGGTTTTTTGGTTTGTTGCTGTGGTGTTTTTTCATCATTCTCTTTTATCTTCTCACTGGTGCCTCTGTCTCTTCTTGTCTTCCTTTTTCTTAGCATCTTCATCTTTCCTTATTTTTATCAAACTACTTGATGTCATTTAACCAGACTTGTCACTCCTAACATGCTGCTATACAGCATCATATCTTCATGATGTAAAAGTGGGGCACTGCAGCGGCCAGTAAAAATACACTAGAGTAAATTAATGACCTTTGTAGAGATAATATTCCTTTGTTGTCAAGAGAAGCAGGTAAACACTATTGTTTCCTTCAAGTGAAAGGATAGGAGCCTTCAGCCTAAAGAAAATGGATTGATAGAAGGAAATTGGGCTGATTTATTCTTGCTTAGTCATAGGTTGTCTTGTTTTCAGGCACCTACAATAACAAAACAGACTTACAATTTGGAAGGGTGAATAACAAATGATTCTCTAACCAGAAAAGCAATCCGTTCAGTTAAAAAACATATAAAAATACTTTAAATACCCAATAAGAATGGAAAATAACTTCCCCAAGAGGTTTACTAATTTTAAAAATAGCTATATTGATAGTTATATAATTATGCCCTTTGAAAAAATGAAAGCTTTTTTCTTTGCTTCATGAAATTATAATGGAACCTGAAACAAGTAAACCTTTTTCCCTGTGTTTGCTGGAACCCACGTGATTCAAGTTCACTGCAGATAGATTTTCTCCCTGGACTTCCATTCTAGACTTAATTTCATGCTGCTGCTGCTACAAGAACAGTAGCTAACTTTGACAACTCATAATTATGTCAATTTACAGCCCTACAGGCACTTCCAAGAGCATAAAGGTTCTCCTGGAAATATGGCTGGGACTTCTGTGTATTGACAGCATATCTTGCACACCACCAAAGAGTTTCTCTTCAAAGTCCTCATCTAATTTAGAAGAATTGGTAGAGAAATACATATGGTCACAGTTGCTTTTAACGAAAAAGCACACGAGGTCATAAGGGTCACATTTGGCAAGAAGAACAGGGAGACACCTCTAGCCTTCAATGCAATAAGGCAAAAAATTGTTCTACACCGTGTTTACTTAGATGAACTCTGAAAAGAAACAGAAATGAAACTGGAAATTGTTAAGCACAAAACCAGTCAATAGCAAGATAGAGACTCAGGGCAGTGATGAAAGATTGATTTTTGTCCGTCTCCCCCCCCCCCCCCCCCCCCTCCCCGCCATGCTGCGGCTTAAATTTACAATTTGCTAACATAGTGATTAGACACCAGGTAGACTCCAACAAGTATGATTCACACTAAAGCAGTGTTTTGATAGAAAAACACTATATAATTTAGATTATGGTGTAAACATCCAGTCTTTCTGTATGAATCCACCCATGAATTCAGGTGCAACAGAAATTATAACTGCAAATAAAGAACTCTGTCCCAGCCATAATCAGTCCCTTAGAAGGCACACAAAGTCCCCTCCCTCCTAATATCCCAATTTGAAAATGCTATGAACTATATCAAATTGAGAACAGAGGTGGCAGTCCTCAAATTTCAATTAAAGAGTTCCCACTTCAGTAGTCTTGCTGGAACAATAAAGTAGTTTGAATGCAAGCTTCTTCGTTTAAGCTGAGCTTGCCTCACATCCTGAGATATCGTTGATTGCTAATAGTTCTCCCACTGAAAAATGTGTGAAGGCTATGCTTAGAAATCACCAAGAGATAAGCTTATGATCAGCAGCCATTTTGAGACCACTAATTTGTTGTTTTCAAATCACTTACTTTATTGCATTAGGAGCTATAAATAAATGAGCTTGCATTTGCTAGACAGATTATAAATGAGATGAAACTACAGCTGTGACTGTCTCTTCTATAGCAACCAACTGACAGCTCCACCTTCTTCCCCCAAACACTCCACTTCTCTCAAACTGGACCACATTGACAAGAGCAAAATCCCTAATACTAACAAGCTCCACCTAGTAGCCAGGGTGCTGGATGCACTGTCAGTTTGGAGATGGCTACCTCTTGTTTTGGTTCATTTGTCACTGAAGTAAAAGCAAACTGGAATCTGCCAGATAATCAAACAAACGCTTGCAAAGTAACATTAAGGAATGTTACTGATGATGAAACTTTCTTCCTGGTATAGAATTCATTCTGAGGAAACCTATGCATTTTGCAAAAGTCAGCCACAAAAGCACAGAAGCAATTATTTAAAGATTAAACTAAATTTAAAACCTGGAACACAAAGCATTCCTGTGGCTTCATTTGGAAGGGTTTGCTTCTAATTCATGATTCACAGGGGAATTGGTATTTCTTATTGTCTGTGTACTATCTGCAAGTAAGAGCTATGAAAAAGAGTAATAAGCTATTTTCTTCTGGCAGACCCTGGAAGTTTATAAGTAGGCATCATATGAGGACTCTGTGAATTTTAATCCAGTTTGCATCCTATAAAAATAGCAGTACTTCATCCCTTACGAGGCTTCACCGTATTATGTTGCTGATATAGACTGAGCTGTTGAGGAGAGTGTTTAAGGAGAACCATTTAGTGAAACTCGAAAGAGAAATGTATTTTCTCTGAACTGAGAACATGAACAACTTGAAGACAGAAGAATATAGCCAGAAAAGGCAAAAAACTGAGAGTGACTAAGACAATTATGAATATTCACTCCCCAAAGGAGCTGCAAAAACCCAGCAGTATCTTTACATATTATTTTTACATTATTGTGGTATTTACTCTTAAAAGAGTGAGTTTCTCTTAAAAACTGTGAAGAGAAATCACTTTGCCTGCCACTGAAAAGACCTATTCGGTTAAAAGCGTTGTCTGCCAGATATTTTTAAGACAGCAGAAAGTTGTATAGCTAATATTAAAATTGTAAGGAAGTTTGACACTGACAGCACAGTTGCTGATGCTGTTAATGTTAATGCATTTAACGTTAATGCATTTAACATTAATTCTTAACATTAAGGAAAGCTATGTTTATAAATTAATGAAAAATACAGATGATGCCCATCTCGTATTCCAAATACACAGCAAAATACGCTTTAAAGAACATGGTATATAATATCTTTGTTACATTATATTCAAAATTACAAGGCTTCTCATAATTTTTTCTTTATATGTTGATGTATCTCAGGGGCAGATACTCTTTAAATACATGGAAATCTTGAGGTGAGTCCCCAAAACAGATTTCTCTCTCCACCAGGCACCTGGAAAGGTCTTCTGCCATTTTTTGAACTAGCATGTATGTGTTCATGTGTTATGTATTCACCAAGAGTGACATAAACCAGAAAATAGAAGACCACTTTCGGTGAACTAGTTTTAATTACACATTTTCACAATCTGCTTCTTATGACATGGTCTTCTATGGTCATTGGTATTTATGACATCATGTAATCAGTGAAATAACAAACTAATGACAAAGTAATGAGATCTTCTAGTTAGAAAGCACTAGGATAAAGCACTCCAGTCAGTAGAGGGGCATTAAGATGGACAGCGGGCTGGAGCACATGATGTACGAGCAAGATTCCGAGACAGCTGGGTCTGTTCAGCCTGGACAAGGCAGCTATGGTAAGGAATTAAGACTGCACACAACTACCAAATGGGAGGGCATAGAGTAGACCTAGGAAGGTTTTTTTGGAGCTACATGATGAAAGGGAAAGAAGGAATAGATACAAATTGCAGAAAGTGAAATTATGGTTACATGTAAGGAAAAAACTTTTCATAGTAAGAGCAGTCAAACACTGAGAGATATTGTCCAGAAAGACTATAGAATCTGTATCCTTGGAGATGTTCAAACCCAGCTCAGACAAGGCCCAGGATAACCTAATTCAATTTTAAGTCCTACTTCTTTGAGTGGGACTTTGTACATGACATCCACCAGAAGTCCCTTCCACTCTAAACTGTTTTATAGTTGTATGAACCCATTACTCAAGGGTTGAAACCTGAGAAGATGTGAGAGGCACATATTTTTGTCTGAAGAATATTGCATGCTAAGAGATTCAACAGTATAGATATACACGGAGCAGTGAATGCTCCAGCCCTGGCAGCGTTCATGGCCAGGCTGGACAGAGCCTTGAGCAACCCGTTCTAGTGAGAGATGTCCCTGCCCATGGCAGGGGGGTTAGAACTAGATGATCTAAAGGTACTTTCCAACCCAAACCATTCTATGATTCTACATGATTCATAACTGAATAATGTTCCATCTTCAAACTTTATCTTTCAATTCTAAAGCTTGTTGACTTTGTCACATTAATTTCTATTTCAAATGTGCTCGATAAAGCACTTTCTTTGTGGAAACAGACTTGAACACACAGCAAAAAGTTGTTAAATATTGAGTCGTTTATAGCCAAGTAACAAACTGCGATCAACTTCAGTTGTACATGCACAAGAATGTTATGAACAGAGGCATAAAAACAAAGACGTATTGAATCGCACTGAAATTTGTGATTACAGTTTCCAACAAAAAAAATTGAAGCTGTTGACAATTGAATTATGGTAGAAATACACAGCTGAAAGCTGCATAATATGCTAATTGAAATGTTATTTTTCCTAAAATTTTTCTTAAACTAAAATACCTCTTCTCCTCATGCAACTTCTTTATGACTACTAAAAAACAGTCATTCAAGTTTGACATCACTGTGGTCACTTTTTTATTGAATCTGTTTAATACATTATGGTACCTCTTAATGCTAAGGAAATGATGACTATACATACCTGTCAGGAAATGTAGTCTAAAGGCAGACTAGGACTACTGAATTCCAATGAATAGGTCTAGTGTGCTCTCTTTTGTAATGCAGCTCAGAGCTGCAGTAGCTCAAGATAAATTCCTTGTGACAACATAAGGATTGAAAATGAGGCATTTTAATTTAGGAACACCCAAATATTTTATTTAAATTGTAAATTTTTTTTAGTCTTTTTCAGTATTGGGCATTCAGTCTTGGTGTAACATACACCCCAAAAATATACACAGTAAAATTTAGGATTTTAGGTTGTAACAGAAGCAGCTTATTCTGGTGGTCAGCACTCAGTCAAACAAATAACATTTACCCTGGACAAGAAAATCACAAATTAGCATCCCAATTTAGAACAGGGGATTTCCTACACGAAATAATGTAAGTACAGTGCAGGATGACTGCTTCCTGCCAAACCCCAAACCTCTACCCAAAAAGGGCTTTTTCTGTAACTGCCATCTAAAAAAAAAAAAAAAGAAAGTAACATGAGTCCATTTTATGGAAATGGTCTTGTTATTATTTAATCAGGCCAGCATCTAAGAAAGTGATTCATGAACTGCAGGTTGAAATTCAATAAGCAGTTCATGAATGTCCAAGTTGAGAAAATCTGAAGGAAAGAAAATGGAGAAGGAAACCCCTTCCCCATAGGACTTAGTGAACACTCTTGTCCATGACGGATGCTACCTAATTTACTTTAAAGCACTTAACAGCTCCTCAGTTCCTTAGCTTATTCAGTGTTCACTTACAGAAATAGTTGGGCACAAGTGATGCATTATGCTAAGCACGATATAAATCCATAGCAGAAGGAGAGATAACCAGTAGCTTAGAGAAATTAACTGCACAAAGGAGTTGTGAAGGGAGCTAATTGGAATTTTGGAAGGATTGTAAACAAGCCAGAAACTTTCTTCCAAAAAAGGGATAAGGATCAATGCACTGGAATAAAGCTACCTCATTCTCCAGGAGCCTTTATATTCATGCCAAAGATGTTTGGTTTTGTCATCCTTAAGTTCCTGACGCCAGGGCCAGGAAAAATGCCCTTTATTGATCTCTTTGTGAGATGTCCGTCAGCTTGTGTAGTTAGGTATGCACTCACAGAAATGCACACACACACAACCATATGCATTATGGGCACTTGCACAGCATTTGAGATTCCACATTCACCTTAAAAATATCTTGTAGTCATGATCCTCAGAAAGACTATTATTGTAACGTTTCCGCAGGGTGATCTTAGTAAGACTATTAAACAGTTGTAATTAGCTGGAGCTTAAAATAAGCAAATGGAGGAAGAAAATTTGCACTGCAGTTTAGTTTGATGTGCAGAATGAGCCCAGACAGCTACAGCATCCTGATTTGTAGAAGAGTGATACTGATTTCCCAGGGAACAAAAATGCTGCACCCACCTTTCTTCACTGGCTGTTACTACTATTCTCCCAGCCAGTCAAGTTAAATGGAAAAGGAAGATGGATGAAGAAGGTAGGTGGACAAAATACTGCTGGATCAAACGGTGCAGCTCAAATTCTCCCCATATCTTATACCTGCATTTTGCTTGAAGACACGCATGGCTCTTTAAATAAAAAAGTCATCTTTGTAGAGAACCTAATTGCTTTGCTCTTAAGCTGCATAATTTTTTTTCTTCCTGCTTTCATCTACCTTTCTTATATCAAGCATAAATGTGATTCCATCACTTTATCAGGCACAGAGCTCTTAGTGCTATTTATCAAGACAAAAAAAGCCTAGAAGGTTCAAAACACATTTTCCATGTTATTATTGTAACCTCAATAACAGCAATATTGTACAGTATAGTACTGTTAGATGGAATTTCAAGAAAAATTTGATGGTTTTTATCCCAGATCATTTCCTAACTATTCTTGCTGCAGGGGCATGTGAAACTTTGAAACATATGTGTTTTTCTGAATAAGATGCTAATGGTGCTGCTAGTACTGATGTGATTCTGAAAGGTGGTGACAGAGTGTTGCTAGTGAATAGAAAGTAGGCAGGATAAAAGATGCCATGTAACAGGGACTTTGTATAAAATGAAAAATGAATACTATGGAAAAATCATTGGGTTTCTTTCACTTTATGCCTTCTTTAAGATAAAGTCATGTTGACAAATGACAGAAGTCAGCAAATGCTCACTGTATACTTGTGATTTAATAAAAGATAGAGATGATTCAATGTGATCTTCCCCAACTTTGTAAAATCATTGGGTTGCCTTACAGATCATCAGTACATGTAAGTGTATTAGCTACTATAATTATAAGCACTCCCAAGGGTATCTGATAATTTGCCTGGAAAAGGGTCACTTTACATATCAGTGAAGCCTCTTTTTGATGGTTT